ACACAATGCCACGAATTCCATATATAGCACTCTGGATGTTGCTTCCGCAATTGAATGTCTGCATATAGCGGGGTAAGTGAATCACCGTGCGACTGGACTGGAGTTGCCGCATATGGAGACATGCATGTCGCATATTACATGTCTCGCGGCGCGAAGACGGCGCTGCAAGTTGCCTCTTCCATGACGACTCCCGCATATATATTGCCTTTCGAATAACCGAGATCGTTCCGTGTACTCCACAACATGCTATTGTGGTAGGGTGGCGGTACCACTGGTGCAGGATAACACAATAGAATGGCGGATTGAACCGACCATGGATATAGAGCGTGGAGGAATGGGGTCAGACTGGATCAGACACAGTGCCGTGTGTCTTTGAGTAAATAGTAAGTTATTTAAGCCACTGGTAACCAAAGATTGTGGGAATATTGTTAGAATGGCGGAGATATAGATACAGAAGCAGTGATATGTGTGAGGATCAAGTGTCATCTCTCTACTTCCTCGCTTACTTGAATCGTATCGATGTCCTGAATTATCAATGCCGTTATGCTTATATAGTGCTTCAATTGCCTTACCCCATGCTAAAAATACACCTAGTCAGTTGTACAAAGGGATTTTCTATTCTGGCGATGCCATGCAACCTTCGAAGGATCGTATTCGTGATGCAACCTCCATTTCGAGTCGTTTACCGTTCATAGGGACCTTCACTTATCTGCTTGATCATGTCTATGCCGGGAGGGAAATCATGTTCGAAGATGGCACCTCTCATGTTCGCAAGCACTGATTGCCGGAAATGCCATCTAAGTAACTCATCGGAGACACGGTGTAGGTCTATCGGATTACGACATATAGGACTCTTCCATCAATACCAGAGACATCACGGTTGAATACTATTATTTTATAACCGTCCTTTCAATCTAACATTAGTAGAGAATGATAATAATATCTTCTGGAGTCACTCACGTCTGGGTTTATTGAGATAAGGTAGTTGTCGAACATCGCATGAAAATCACGCTGCATAAGCAGACCGTTCTGACAAGAATCTACCTTTGAATAACTTGTCGTATTGTCCATGTCAGTAATCCATCTTCCAAAATCATCCCGAATCCATATGGTTTCCTTCTCGAGAGGGAAGATATGTGCTGCCTCGAACATGAACCAGTCATCAAACTTTGCGTTTTAATTTATGAGACCTGACAGGACACATCTCCCATCTCGTTGACGTAATTCCTGGTGGAATCTGTTTTCTTGTGTGCTGATACTATTAATTCGTTGAATCCAGGGTTCATTCGTGAGTTCAATATTAGCTATTTTAATTAGCAAAGCAGTTATAAAAGTACTTTTAAGATAATAAAACTTACCATCAGAATAAACATCGTAATCTCCAGGTTCAAGGATGTTGCTAGTTGGTAAAATAATCTACTGAGAAGATCGTGCTTTGACTTGGATTTCGGCCTCTGGGATAAGCAAGATATGATCCAGAATCCAAAGAAATACGGCTCCTGTCACTGATCCATTCTGTCGCATTCCCCCAAAACAGTCGCCTGTAGTACTATGGTAGATGAACACATTGCGGACCTTAGAGCGATCGAAGGACATTATGTAAAAGTGGGTCGCGAGATTACTGACGAAGCCGTGCTTATTGTGTAGAATACTACGCACATTGAGATCGTGACCGAGTCCTTGATGGCTTGACAGGTTGTACTGGAGTCAAAGTGTGAAAGCCGGGTAAAGGTGAATACGACGCGTGAAAGAGGTCAGTTACAGCGTGGAGCTCAACGTCACTCGCATTGCGTACATATTGTTAATAGCCTCCGCAGGCCAGGTGAATTCTCAATAATCTAATCAATCATTCACTACAGAGTATATAGAGTATAGCTTTTATTGTTGAAATTGATGATTTATCTCTTAAACTAATAGTCAGTACCAACAGTTTAATCAGTGTAGTACCATTTGGTCCCGAACAAGATAACTTCAAACTACCCCATTGTTTACCTTCGCCCTAATGCGGAAAGCACACGACAGCTCCACCATGATTCTCAGCTCATAAAAGTAGTCTCTTCGATTCAGCGCGTTGCTGTGGTACACACTTCACCGACTCAACAATGGACCAGTAGCTATTTATAAAAAGAGTCGAATGCCCCTCGCTAAGCCCCTCCGAACCCCACCTTGCAACGCCTCACTCTCCAATGACCGCCACCACGATCCACCCGCTATGTCACCCTGCATCGCTAGTCGCTACTTAATTAGGGAGCATGGGGCCTTAAGGCAGCAATGCGGTGGGTGGCCAGCTGAGCGCAGCAGCATCATATAAATCCATCCCACCTTGACTTCTGTGCTTCAGTCTCATCCACTCTTACTTCCTATCCTCCATACTCCCTCCCACTACCAAACCAACCTTCAAAATGGGTTCCTTCCACCACACCGCCCGCAACTGGCGCATCAGGGTCGACAACGGCATCACCATGTTCCGAGTGGAGGTCAAAGACATGCACGGCAACTGGGTTGAACGGACCATCCGTTTGGACGACCACATTGGCAACACCGATGGTAATACTAATTCCCTATACTCTTCCACTCTGGTATCTCGATATACAATTCATAGGTGACTAACATACGTGATCCCTAGGCTGGTTCATCTGGGGCGGAAAGAACTTCACCAGCACCGCCCGCGATATCCGCCTGGAGGATACCGAGTATGGCCCCAAGCTGGTCGCCGTGATGCGCTCGAACAACGGTGGCGACCGTGGTTTACAGGGAATGTTGCTGGGCGATAAGATCGAGAACCGCAACGGCGAGCTTCATTTCACCGGTCCTTGAATGATGCGGCGGGGCTGACATCGATTCTACTGTGGAGGAGACGTTTCAATTCTTTGTGAATGTTATATCTTGAAATACATATGACAACCTTTTTTTTTTTTCTGGTATTGGTATTTTTACTTGACTCCTCCGTAGGAGATAATGTAAAGAGTCACTGTCATGAATCACTAACATTACCAACCTTCTGCGAAGATTCAAGCATAATTCACGTGACATGCACTGGCTGATGAATGGACATGTCATGTCTGAAGTGTAAAAGTGGCAGTGGAGTCAACCAGATATTCTATAGCTCGAGAGATTGGGACGGCCCGTTCCAATCCAAACTCCCGCCTAATATCGTTACACGTGCATTATTCTACCAAATCAAGGCATACAAATTCGAGACCTAAGGCCATCTATTATATCATCCTTGTATACAGTGGGGTAGATAAGAACCACCCTCTTGGCTGAACTACAGTTTAGCTCATATTATTGGGCAGCCTGCTCTCGGAACATTCCGTGAGCCCCGGGGCTACTACTACTGCAATCAGATCTGTAAACATTGATTGGCCCGTGAGAAATATGACTGTTCAAAGTTCTTTAAGGACAATCTTCAGCTTCGTCCTCCCGACTATCATTTCCCCCCCTGTTTCAGTCCTCGAATGATAAATAAGACTGAGACTCGAGATGTCCTTCTTCTCTCTTTACATAGATCAAAAAACCTCCGCCCCAGAATCACGGTAAGTGACACAAATTTTCCCCCGTGGTTAACATTTACTAACCTACCTAATAACCTATTCCTACTCAAGATGTCTTCCCAGACACGTGATCCTCAATGAACAAATGACAATGATACATACAAAGAACCCGCGCAACAGTCCCCCCCTACTGCGAATGACAGCGACACATATGAAGAGCTCGCACCGCAACGTCCCACACATCGCGAGGATGAAGGATTCCAAGTCAGTGACCGAGACTGCATACTCGAGGCTAGCGATCGGGACTGTACGCTCGAGGTCAACCATCGGGTACAGAAGATACACAAGGGATTTTTCACTCAGGGAGCTGTCACACAGGCTTCGGGAGATACCGAAGCAAGCACATTGGAGAAAACGCACAGAAGCAATAGATCCCGAAATGGCTTCAGGGAGAATGGCCGGATTCAGACATCACGGGTCTGCTGCGTGGTAGCTGTGGTAGTTGTGATTATTGTTATAACTATCCTAGCAGTTATAGCTACGAGGCATTGAGATTGAATCGATAGCTCAGTCGGCTATTAAGAGACGCATGCAATTGCTGTTCAATCATGTGCGGGAAGGTGGGATGCTTGGAGCTCTGATAACGAGGTAATACACCTTGGGGCTTTTGGAGAATGGCGAACTATATAGGGATATTCTAGATTCTGTAAAAGTATCGTGAATGATTCACTGGGTAGGTATATAATATAGTTATTGACTAGCCTATCTTGCTTACGAAGCATAACACAAATGTCTAAACTTTTGTAGCGAAATAGCATTGGATTTGAACTTGCCAGGGACTAACTATAGAACATTCCCCCAAATGAGCTTACGCAATTCACGCATCCGAACACAACATGCAGGGATTTATATTAACCAGCCGAAGCGGGTACCTGCTTCTAACGAATGATGTACTGTGTATGGACGGACTTGATCAGGATCAGCAGAGCTAAGACTACTACTGCGTAAATGCAGACCTAAGCAATTGGACCCCAAGCCCGGTGGGCCCGACGGTCCACACTGGACTCCGGTGGTGCCGATTGAGTGCCCGTTTCGCTCTCTCGTCGGGATATAGTATGAGGCACTAGACAGGGGTTCCGGCGGCCGGACATTTAGTTGCAGACAAAGTTACATCTGGGAGTGTATCCATATAGAGGCTAACGTGCACTACGGTGGGTCAGGGTTGTAACGCCGGCGAGGGATTTTTTCAAAGTTTTAATTGCTCCTTGTCGTAAACGTATGTCTTTTGGACTGGCCTGATTCGGATGTCACGGAGATTAAAGTTTGTACAAATAAAATTCCTGAGTCTGTATACCTGTCCCGAAGGTCTATCATGGTGTCTATAGAATGACTGACGATTGAAAGATGAAGCAAAGGAAAACAAAAGAAAAGCACCAAAGACATGGATTCCTTCCCAAACTCATCAATGGCGTGAAAATACAGTAGTATACAGAGTCCACATCAGAGTTAGTTGAACGCCGCAAAGCAGGAGCTCTGCGCATCGGATTCCTTCCAGCCAACGCACTTCCAACAGCTCAACAGTCCATTCGGATCATACCTTTTCTTTATCTTCAGCAACTTGCCGTAATTCTCATTACCCCACCAGGACTCTTGCCAATCCTTGGTGAAGGGGTTCGCCTCGGGACTGTAAGCGCCACTGCCTGGAGTGATCTCTTCGAGAAGCGTTGTCATATCTTGCATCTCAGCCACTTTCTGCTCCCGCACTTCGAGAGTGCTATTCCATGCCCAAAAGCCGTCAGCGCCGACAGACCAGATGGCGTCTCTCCAGGCTGGGGTCGCAGAATTGGGTTTGACGTCTTTGTAGAGTAGAGGTCCGACCACGGGGATGTATACGCTTCCACCTTTCGACAGGAGCACTGAGAAAAACTTCATGAGATCTGCACGACCCGTGGCCGTCTCAAATACTGTTTTGGGAATGAGTCGCGTTGCCGCGAAGTGAGCGTTGCCCACCGTGACCGCGTTAGGCACGACATATTCCTGGTAGAACTCATACCAGGACGGGAATTCTTCAATAATTGCAGTGCCCCCCTGGGACTTCGCGTAGGCGACAGTCTTAGCCAGGGAATCCTTGGCTTCAGACAAAGACAGCAACGGCGTGACATTGATGAATGAGTTGCCGCTGATATGACCGCCCCAGCCCTCGTGGGCCCACTTGACAGCATTGTTCACCAAGATATCGAGGAATGGTAAAACGTTGCTTGAATTCGCCTTCAGGGGAAACTTGATAGAGGCAGAGACTATGCTCACCTGTGGCTCAACGCGATGGGTGCTTTCCATCACCACGCCAAAGGTGCCACCACCGCCACCCCGCAGAGCCCAGAAGAGCTCCTGATTTTGACATTCGTTGGCAATCCGATACTGGCCGTCAGGCGTCACAATCTTGTATTGGACAACCCTATCCACGCCCAAACCATAGACAGGCGATAGGATACTGTGCCTCCAGTTTGTGTCCAGCCCCCGCTAACACCTACTGTCGGCGAATAACCCCCGATGAAAGTGACATTATGCGCATGGGCAAAGTTGTAGACCTCATCGAAATTCACACCTGCTTCCACAGTAATCGTATCGTATCTCGAGGTAGCATTACAACCAGTGGGAATAAAAGCAGGGTTGTAGTGCATGGACTGCAAGTGTCGAGTCCACAAAGAGAGAGTTCCTTGACCACTGCTACGGCCCAGGAAGTCATGGCCGCTATTTTTGATTGAAAGACGGGTTCCTGAGCAGCTTGAGAATTTGAAAGCCTCGACCACATCCTTTGGCCCCTGAACCTCCAGCGAGAAGGAAGGCATATTTCCTTGATTACATGAAGTCCTGAGCGCTTGTGGATTGGTCGGATCTAAGTTGTCAAGTAGACATTGGTTGGCTGGGTCGGATGCGCATATTTCGGCCTGATTATACATGTAGCCATTGGCGGAATTGGCACGCAGGAAAGGATCGCTGTAATTGCTCTGGATCACACTGCATGCTGCTTCATCTGAATCCGTAGAGATGCCATTGTACTGCGAGAAGCACGGCAATGAGAACGGCTTCAATGACTGGACCCGTCCACCAAGTGTGGCATTGAAGCTGGCCAGGGTACAGTTATCCGCCGCGGCAACACCCAGGAGATGAGCGGCCAACAAAACAAGCGAGGTCTTGGAAACCGAAGGAGCCATCCTTCGACAGAGAAAAAGCAATAAACAAAAACATGCCGAGAGAAATTTTTTCGGACAGGGAAAGGCATTTTGGGGGGTTAAAAGTGAGTGCAATGGAATCCTCGGATGGGGATCGGCACGGCACGTTCCCCGGCGTAGTTTAGTCTCATGCATATGGAGTCGAAACCCTGACTGAGGTTGCACTGGTGCTTATTTTCCACGGCTGACGGCTTGTTTCGGACATCCCATGTCATGCATGGCTGTTTGCTGACAGTGGCCTTTTTCTCTGAAAAACATGTACGACCGAAATTTGCAACTCGAGTCCAAGCGATCAATCGCTGTGGCCGACCTTCTATAGCCGTGATGCTCCATGGCTATTCGGAACCAATACTGGGGGAATGTTGTCGCGATCGTCCCTACGGTCGGGGCAGCGCTTGCGACACTCATCTATGCCCTGCGTCTGATTGCGTGCCGGATGTCTACGGTCGGGTGGCGGTTAGAGGAGTTGTTGATGGGTATTGGCCTGATTCTCTCGTACGGGGTCACGGCTTTTGTTATCTATAGTGAGTATAGCATACTCGCCGATTTCTCTTGCTCACTGAGTGTCCTTAGCCGCCTTCAATGGTGTAGGAGTTCCAGGGAATGAACTTCCGCAGGACGAGCGTATTCGCCTGCAATTTGTAAGTCATGACTCGGCATCTGATAGCCGGACTTTTGCCAACCATATCTTCTAGGGCTCTTGGATGATCCAGAAGTTCTGGCCACCATCCATGGCATTTGTGAAAATATCCATCCTAGTCTTTCTCAAGCGACTACTAGGCACCGTGAAAGCGGTTCGTGTGGGAGTGATGTGTCTAATTGTCTTCACCATTATGTGGGCCTTTACGGAGCTCATGGGCAATATTTTCCAATGCCACCCAGTTCAGTACTACTATGACACCACGCTAAACGGTCACTGTATGCCCGGACAGACCAAACTATTCCAAACATCAGCTTGCTTGTCTTTAATAGAAGACGTGATCATTTTGCTTTTGCCAATGCCGGTGGTTTGGCGGCTACGAATCACCGTCCAACAGAAGGTCGGGCTGACAATCGTCTTCTCGCTGGGTGCATTGTACGTGCCCTCAAAACAAATGTCAATGACTACCGGATTAACTGACAGTCTTAGGGTATGCATTTTCAGTTTGTTACGTGTGATGGAGTTCAACCACTTTCACACTAATGACCTTGCCTGTATGTCCTAAACCCTCCCCCCAGTTGCCTCGATTAATACCTTCTAGCATCAAGCGCCAAAGAGTCCGTCTGGACTGCCCTTGAACTTAATGTCGCTATAATTTGTGGCTGTCTTCCTCTGTTCAAACCCCTCGTACACAGGTTTCTTGGAAAGGTCAAAGGCCAGTCGACCCGTTCGTTACGCACACCACGCTATCTCAACCGGCTCAGTCAAGACCCCGACGGATTCCATAAAATCAGCGATCCCCATGGTATAAGAGCCAGCAAGAACGTCGTGGTGTCTACAGACCCTAGTGGGAGACATAGTTCGGATGTTGAACTTCGTGGGATCAGAGTGCATACTGCGATCCAGCAGGATGTGGAGAGTCGGCCAAATACAAGTAGCTCAGACGCAGCAATCGAGACGACATGGCCTCGGTGATTACATGGGATATGATTTAGGTTTAATTTGATATTGATAATGTAAGGCTACATAACCTAGTGCTTAGTGTCAAATATTCTTCGTTCTACGTTTCAGGATTCGATGGCCGCTATGATCTGGACAGTTCACTCAGGATTCAGTCATTCCATGTGGTGGTCTTCCCCATGAACTTTCCAGGAGGCCATTCATTGATTCAGTACGAAAGCAAGCATTATTAATTTACCTGTCCCTGCTTTTCCGTCTTCAATCAATGAGATACTATTCTCATGCTATTTTATTTCTCCCCCCACCTCTTTCTCGAGTCCGCCAACCAAACAATGAGCACCAATGCATAATAATGGGGCACATATACACGTCTTTCTATTAGAGCTTACTATGCACTGAGTGCAGGGGCCTTGGTCTCACTGTCGATAAATTTGTTGTCTGCAATGATATGGCCTATTTTGCAATTTCAGACGTGGCTTACTGAGTTACATGTTTCAAGTCGAGACCTGAGAATGAAGAGCGAAATCCAAAAGCCAGGCACGGGACTGTGCCATTGTGATATAATGGACCGGGGGGGGTTGGAAGAGAGGTGGATCAGTGGGCAACAGGGCTATATGTTCCCATTTATTGCACTATCTGCCGTGAAGAGTTTCACAATGGAAGAGCGCCCTGTATGGACATACTACATACCCAAAGAGCAAGAAGACTCAGAATGGGATCATTAGTATGTCCTGCTTCTGGAGAGCAACGAAGAAGGGGGCCTGTGGGAACGAGTAGGACTAGAAAAGTTTTTTCAGGCTGCATTTCGTGACAAGGTCTGGTCAGAAATAAAGGTTGGTTAGTAATGTTAGGATTGCAATTCGAATGCTTAAATACATACAGCTCTCGTATATGTAGAGGAAGATTCTCAAGTAAAACTCAACACGGGGTGTCTAAAGTTGTCTGATCTCAGACTATTCTTCCTGCTCACGTTCTGCTTTACTGTCCTGGCGTGTCCTGGGTTTCTTATTTGCTCCCTCCTCCTGGCTTGCAGTGCGCTTATTGCCAGCCTCTGTTTTGTGGCCATCCTGATCTTCAGACTCTCCATTTTGCTTCTCCCCCTCGTTCTCGTTTTCCTCTCCCTCTCCCTCTCCCACTTGTTCTTCTTCGATATCGTTTCCATCAACTTCCCCAGATCCGTCCGATTCTTCAGGCTCAGCTTCATCTGATCCAGATTCTTCACCTTCAGACTCCTGTTGATCCTCATCCCGACTTTCTTCCGCAGCCTGCTTCCTCTCCCTCTTTGCCTTACTGGTGTTAGAAACAAACTGCTTGCCTTTCTTAGATCCCTTCTGTTTCTTCTTCTCGGTCTCCTCCTTCTCCTTCTCACTCATCTTCTCCCATGCTTTTTTCGGCAAGTATCGCTTCCTCGTCCCATCCTCCTGTTTAGCCGTGCCTGATCCCTCTTTCGTCTGCCACTCTTCCTTGCCCCACTGTTCCAGACTCTTCTGAGATTCATCTTGTCCCTCCTCCTTCGAAGTAGTATAATCTCCACCGCGCTTTTTGTATTCGGACGCCATAAACTGGGCCTGTATCGATATGTATGTAAATACACATTCCCCCCCCCACTCGAGAAAACAATACCAGAACAGAGAGATAGAAGAAAAGAACCCACCTTCCTAGCAGACCACTGTCCAGGCTTTCCGCCCTTATCACTCTGTTTGACTTCTTCTTTGACCTGTTCCCGCAGTTCGGGGTCGGTATATTTGTCATCGTTGGCGGGCATGTTGGCGATGGTGAGGTAATTTAATTGAAAACAACGGTTTATGAGATCTATTGAATGAGATATTTCCTTCCCTTTCTTATACTACGTTATTCTAGGGCTGGAAGATTGGAATGACATAATTCGATCTCAGATCTGAGCGGTGACATCATAGGGTTCATGCATCATCATGATTTAAATTGAATTGAGTCTTCGGGTGATCGACATCTTGATTCCCTCCCGAAAGCTTAGATCTGGACTTTAAATCAGTTTCATTGGGTTTATCGTATTTTCTCCTTCTTGATAAGAATAGAGTGGCTTTGATTCTTTATACCAGATGTTGATATAATCCTTCCTACCAACAACATGTAAGCTCTCTTTCACGGAGTACTGTAGGTTATAGGACAGTAGCAAAGATAGTAAATAAATAGAAATAAGTTAATAACTAGAGTTTGTCAACGCTATTGCGATCGGATGATGTAATCCTCCCTCAATAGCTGTAACACACCCCGTAGGACAATGTTGGTATACTTTCTACGGAACCAGGCAGTGGTGGATAACTTGCAATACCAAACAATAGAGACTCGGCAACACCGGAATAAGATTACAGGCGCGTAGGAGGAGGGACAAGCGCGGAGGGGGGGGATTTGAGCGCGCAGGCCTGGGCAGACGTTAGGCATTCACGCATGCATTATAGTGTGACCGTGTAGTCCCCTGGTTTCCAGGAAGCGTTTAATCCCATCCAGGCTAGTTTAACTAGGTGTGCAATATATGGATCAGCGGAGCATCTTCTGTGTATCCTGGATGGTGAAGCCTGTCCATTGAAGATATTTGGGTGTTAATGCCCGAATTCTCGGAGTGAATAGGGCCTTGTGTCATATCCTTCTTCACTATGGCTTCATCTTTACTTGACTCACCACTAATAGCAAGGGTCTTGACGATTTCCAGTTTACAAAATGTGCTCGGCTGGAATATAACGAATGGAAATTCCATGAACTAGAGATTAGAACATTTCCTTTTGCGTAAGGGGATGTGAACATTTCATCCCTGGCAGTGATTCTGTACTATGAGAGAATACAGCTCCTCAATTCCTGATATTGTGTAACGAGCCACATCAGATTTATGAATGAAGGGTGGGGCATTCACTCTATGCGCATATAAGAAGTCGGGCCATCCAGCATCATAAAGACCAATCCAGACAAATCTACCTTTGCAACTGATATACAATCTTCATCCTGAGACTCTCACATCTAAACAGTTCCTATTCCTTCAACACCAATTCGATCGATATCAGTTGGATTAAAATGACTCTCCGTCTGGTGAAACTATCAGACAAATTCTCCTGTTACACGAGAGGAGAGAACGAAGCGAGGTTCATATACCACGAGATATTCGAAGCCCACGGGTACGACAGGGTGGTGCTGCCCAAGGCGCCAATCATCGTTGATGTGGGAGCCAACATCGGTCTTTTCTCTCTGTACATGAAGGAGAAGTACCCACTCGCTAAGATCCTCGCGTTCGAGCCGGCACCGGAAAACTTCGAGGCGTTGAACCGGAACTTAGCCTTCCATATGGTCTCCACCGTGGTGGCGTATCCATACGCGCTGGGTACACAGGCCTGTTCGGCGCCGTTCACGTACTTTCCGAACATGCCTGGGAACTCTACCTTGAATATAGAAGAGAAGGAATGCCAGATCCGGCTCTTCAGGGAGAACTATGATGAGGCCTTCGGAGACGATATGTTCAAGGATTCCAAGCAGATCATGGTTCCGGTTAACCGACTTTCATATTTCCTGGATCGATACCATAGCAACGTGGAGGCGATCGACCTTCTCAAGATTGATGTCGAGGGGACGGAGTTGGAGGTGCTAGGTGGGATTGACGACGCGGGATGGGACAAAGTGCGAAATATCGTGATGGAAGTGAGTGATCTGAAGGGGAGTCTCGACAAGGTGAAACAGTTGCTGGAAACTAAAGGATTCACGGTTAGCTATGTGGCCACGCAAGGGATTCCAGAAATATTTAAGCTGTTCATTGTTACAGCGTGCAGTTGAGTGGGCTTTTAACATATGGGACATGCACCAGGTATTTTGTTTTATAGTGATGACTTTATGACACATTTAGCATGCCTACCAAATCCCCACTACTAAAGACTGAGTATATATAAGCATAGGGTATCCCGTGGGGAATCATCCACAGCCAAGATAATAGGGATAAATAGTTTAGGTTGAGTACTAGGTTAGGATAATACATCGTGGAGAATACTGCCGAGACGGCATACTGTTAAATTCTTGCCGTTTAACCTTGTCTAATTGGACGTTTGCTTGTCTAGTCATAATGTAAGGCACTAGGTATAGAAATATATGCAATAATTGCGTTTCTGGCAACTCACCTTGTAATATTAATACATCAATATCGAAGTAGGAGGTATTTTCAGCTGAATCATTTGGCACAGCTGAGACGAGCTGCATCCTGGACATTGTCCTCTACTCTGATACCCTGGTGGCCAAAGCAAGGCACTAACGTATTCGGTGCTAGTGACTTGTGGAGTACTGTACATAATACATTATATCCTATTCTGTCCCTTCAAAGACACCACCCCCTGTACTGCCTAATGGCATTGATATCGCATGGTTCAGCTGTAAGGGTCAGTGCAACAGCTGTGCGTCTCTTCCCCATGGACCTCGGACATGACAAAGGCCAATTTTCTGCTAAGATAGCCTGGTTAGCCTACCTGATGCCCAGAACACATTCCGAATTTTAGGCATCAGGTAGATAAGATCCGCCCTACCAGACGCTCTATTTTGCGCTTTGACTTTTTTTCAATATTAAGTTTGAGTGATGTGTTCTACCGAACTATGAAGAGATACAGTCTGCCATCCTGCAATAGTACATCACACCGACACTTGATGCCCCTCTATAGTGCATGGAAAGGCCAGATTCTAATATTGATCATTTTGGGGGCTTTCGAGGTACCCGTTGTAGAACTACGGCGACTCAGTAGGATTTCACCATGCTCAACTGGAGCGTGTCTGGATGGTAGTTGAGCTACGCAGGGTGGTTATTACCTACTTCTTATCAGAGCTCATCTTTTCACGTACTGGTGTCACCATCTTTGCACTCTTTCTCTTTCTTCCAAGCATTGGCGCCAGATTAGTCTGTCTCATTTACCCCTCCCCAGAGATCGGGCCAATCTCAGCCGTCTATACTGAGGTGGAGTGGGAGCAGATCGTGTTGATCTCTGTGGAGCGGTGCGAATCATATCGATTCCACGATCTCATTACTAACGAGTCAGGCGGGGCAGAGCAATAGTCTATGCATGATGAAGTGTGTATTTCTCAGCCAGCCACATCTGTAGCGTGAAAACAACTGATATATATTTCTGTGATGCCAACATCCTGTTATCTCTCTTGGATCAAACTACTGTTAAACTAGTGCAGTAAAGACTCCAAAATCTTAGATCCAACAAGCCTCCTCTTATTATCGGAACAATGTCTGCGAAGGTGAGACATACCAATCCTGACACCCGCTGTTTATACTAATTCGCGTATAGAGGGTTAGTATCACGTTCACCGGGGAGAAATGGGAAGAGTCAGTCGAGGCTGTTTGTTGGTATGTTATAGCTGGGGGGAATGTCGGAGATACTACTGGAGATGCACTATGACTGACAATTTCAGGATCATCAAGGAGTCCGGCACTTACAACTTTCAGCAGCACATGACCAAAACTATACCTCCAATCATATGTGGTATTGTGTATGGCTCCTACCACCCTTTTTTGGCTAATCTCTTATGAATGGATTGGTTCTAATGTTATGCCCCGGCTCAATCCAGACTCAAGGAAGAAGATATTGAACGTTTGAAAAAAATCAATGGAGTAACTGTCAATGTGCACGAGGATGACTAAAGTTTCATGGCACTAGTACTCATATATAACCTCTGTGCCTAGCCTTGGTCACCCAGAGGTTTATGTCATTTCAATAAGATTATGGAATAAAAGAAACATCTCTAAAGATAATATCCAGCAGTCTATATCTCATTGTATGACTAGTCTGTTCCTTCAATCATCACTATAGATAACACCGATTAGTACAACAATATTCGAATAAGATCCAAAAGCTTGTATAGCCAACTTACAATAAAGGCAACACAGCCATATTTGACCCCGACATGTTCAGCCAAGTTGATACTTCTAGGCCCTCCCCAATTTCCATTTGAATCTTGAAGCCATCCAGCAATCAACCAAGGATTACCATCCCGGAATTCTAAGCTGAGCGCCTTCGCGGTTTTTGTGAAACCCTGGCCCCCCCAACTGAACTGACCTAAATACATCGAAACAATTCTAGATTAGAAATCATTGTTATAGATATGTAAGAGATATGATACTTACCATTATTGTTACCAATTTTGTCGTCAAGAGTTATTCTTGAGTAACACCATCGTGCTTCTTCATCAATCCCCTGATCAACGCAGGCATGGAATATAGTACAATCGCTACGGACCTCGATCCGAATTTCCGAACAGATTTTTGGGAAAGACATGGTGATTTTCTTTGGAAAGGTTTAGATTATGGAAGAAAGAGAAGAATATAAGAAGGGCTGATTTGAAGGAAATTCCAACGAGGCAACGAGATTCAAATACCCCATGTCAGGAGGGATAGTTAACTAAGTTCATACAACACTTGCCTGTCTAAAAGCCCCGCGGCCATTCAGCTGCCCCACTGTTCAGCTCTAGAGGTGGGGTGCGAAAAGATCGTGCTGATCTCTGTGGATACTTCGTTGTATATCGTTTCCTACAAATTTTACCAGCTGTATACAGAGTATAATAGGACCTAAGACCGGCGGTGAGACTTTTGCTACAGTGGTTCTGGCAGTTCCACCCATAATCTTAAGGTATCCTACTGTCTCAGGTCCTATTATACTCTGTACACAGCTGGTAAAATTTGTAGAAGGAAACGATATACGACGAAGTATCCACAGAGATCAGCACGATCTTTTCGCACCCCACATCTGAACCTCACTCAGTACACAGGATCTGACCCGTCCAAATACAGCCACCGCAGATCGATGCCTTAAATCATTTCGCTAATGGAATCTCTTCTCAGTCGGGACGACTACGGTCCAATACTTTGTCCTACAGTTGACTACGGATGTGAGTCCCACTGTGGGTGGGGTACCATTAGCCGGCCTTCAAAATGATAGAAATGAGTGTGCCGTAACTCTCGTTGCCGTATTATACACGTTCTGAAAGATTGAGCCGCCGCAGTATCTATCCTGAGCTTCAATGTGCTGGTTGTAGCCACGGTCATAATATACACAAGAGAGACTCCGAACTGTTGGTACACACGACTGAGAATTAGTGAACTAATCCTTGATCATTTGTAGGTATTCAAATGGGTACATACGTAGAGGGATGATCCCTATTAAAACCCAATGAAGAGATTCCAAGACCCATGATGACAAGATGTGAAAAAAAGATGTGTCTAGAAAAACAAAAACAAAAAGAAACAAGGGACGGGCCGGGATCGAACCGGCGACCTTAAGATGGTTGCAATATTTGGCTGACGAATCAGATAATTGCAATCTTGCGCGCTACCACTGTGCCACCGCCCCATTAGATATTATTCGGCTCAATACTTTGTGCTTATAAATGGAATCAGCAACAATCTCTCGATTAGTGTTACTCCATCAATCCTTTAACACCTCGCCTTGAAGCTGTCTAGGATATAAAATAAGACCAATAGCTATGTCTAAGACCTGAATAAGTACCCATAATGGGTCTATGAATGACTGAAATCCCAGGGTATATTTTGGATGATTTATGCAGTCCTTCCCCTTGCTCTACTCTGACAGGGCAAAGGACGCATTGGCCCCTTCATGACCTTCCTTGTTGTTGTCTCGACAATTTCATACAGTGAAAACTATGCTGGTATCTTAATATGGTAAATAGCTTTAGACGATAGGGCTCTTATGAGATACTATGTCAGAGCTTCCGACTGCGTGTAATTGTTCTCTCCAGGTTAGGGTTCAATACGTCAACACCACTGAATATATATTTAGATTACGAGCGTTCATAGTTAGATACTGATTCTAGGAATATATTTCACAGCGAGGAGAACAGACACAACCACTGCACTTATTTCCGATAATAATACTAGATAAAGACAAGAATACTAGTATTTTAATTGTCGCTATAACTACGCCCGATTGGTGTTATTCAGCTCTACAATTTCATTGGCCATCAGCAGCTCGGAACACGGTTGCGCTGCTGTTAGATTATTCGGGAAGTAACTCATTCCTGTCAACAAAGATGTCCACAATGGAAAATTATGACCACATACCATTTTCATACTGCATCAATGATACACTGACTATCCAGTCACATAATCCTCCGTCTCCGATACCCAAAAGTGGACTCATCCAACGAGCTACCTCTGTAGGACAGGATCAGTCGCTGTCTCCTATAGAGTTATGTCTCCAGAACCCGCCACTGCCAGGCTCCGATGGTAACAACTTCGTTTCCATCAAGCTAATCGAGGAAATAAATGTTGGCCATGGCAAGAGGGCCCAGATCTTTGTTGTCAGATGCATGAATAGCTTCAATTCTTCTTATCCACCAACCGACCAGGACATGGTCGCTAAGATTTACGACCCATTTTATCATGACTTTGATGAGGACTCTCTCCTCGGAGCTGACTATGACTACACGCATGAATGCGCTGCTTACACGCATCTATCAGACCTCCAGGGCTCGGTTATTCCCAGGTTTTTCGGGTCCTACACCCTGAAAACAAGGATCGGGGATCGTTTTCGCCTGGCCCGATTGATTTTAGTCGAGCAGATTAATGGTCTGTCTATGGACAGACTAAACCCGGAAACATTTTCAAAGGAGGAGCGTCAGGATATCATGAAACAAATAGTTGACGGAGAGTCTTCTCTCTATATGAAAAACGTCTGCCACGAAGACCTACGCCCACAGAATGTTGTGGTTCAACGAAGCGACTCACAAACATTGCGAATAGTTATCATCGATCTGGGAAAATCGATTATTGGTAGATCCCGCAACCCCTCGAACAGCAGGGACGAGAGCCGATATCTGCCTGGCGTCGCAATTAGCCTCTACTCAGATGGAACGTCCATTATGACCGTCATGCTTACTTTCACGAATGGATTGACTGGCCATGGCAAGCGTGGCTTGAGGTTCAATACAAGGAGGACGAGGTTACAATTACAAAGGAACAACGAGAACTATGGAAGATCTATGACTGGATGCTGGAGGTAGAGCCTCCTCCCCCTTAATGCCGTGAGAGGCGGCCAAAGATCTCTTATAGTTTAGCTGGAGTAGTAAAGCTATTATTTAGTAGGGTTTAGAATGGTTTCATGATCCTAACAGCGTCATTAAGGTTAAAATAGATTCAGTTACCTTGGTTAAAGCTCATATTTACATATTTTTTCGCGACTCTTTTACTTCAAGTAGGATCAGTCATTAGGGTCCTGCGCTTCTGGGCTGTTAGAACTAGTATTGTTGATACAACGTCCGTAGCACGAACATCGACTGAACAACCCCGTAGATACCATGAGAAGTGACTAATAATCACAGTCCGCATCTATATACCCCAAGACCTCAATAAGTAAACCATGAACCACCTATCAATATGAAACCCTGCAAGCCCTACCTCTCCTTCCTAACGATGCCAAAATGGCGGCCGATATATCGTCTGAGCATCTCGAGAAGACAGACCTTTCCTTATTGCAAGAAAAGCATGCAATAGTTATCGTGCAGAAGCTGGAACAGTGGCTAGAAGCCTTCCAGACAACTTTTAAAAACAGAGAGTTAGTTACAGTGCTTACATATCAGTGGAAGCTGACCTATACCATGAATTCAAGCTATGTCTGCCTTAATGTTTTGAATGGTGACTCTGAGGTGAAGCTTGCATGGCTTACACTGTATAGCTATGTCAGACAGGTGTTGTTTAATGCATTGTGACTACTTGGGATTATACCCGTGGAAAGGTATCAAATAAGACCATCCTGTTGATATACTGAGATCCATGTGCTGACATTCATATAGGATGTAGTTCAGGCGGTGGGTGGGAGAGCTGGCTCGTGACTGCCAGCAAAGTAAAGTGCAGATCATGGGAGCTGGTGACAATGTTAGGGACTTCACTTTAGCCTTCTCCGTGAGAACATTGCAATTTCAGTGATAAAGCATGAAATCATTCACCGCACATCTTATATGTTGATGCTATTGTACACTGAACCAAATAAAGACAATCCCACTAGCGAATATGGCACACTGAGTCATGCCTAGATAGACAACAGACCTTCACACTATCCTGAGGTACAATATGTACTGCCAATATTCACCTGACCGCTCAGAAGCTCCTGACATAAATCACAATTATACAAATGGCCATGACTAACCTAACAGGTTCTTGTCTAGACTTCACCCCTCCTCCACATCTCAAGCCAAGTATCTATTTTGTGCTTGGCTTCACGAAAGGAATCCATGGCGTCTCTGAGTGAGTCTGACACTGTCTGCCACTTCTCTCCACAGTCACGCACGGTATCCTGGAAGTCTTCCGCCAGGATATTGTTTAGAGCCATGTTCGACGCGATCGAGAGATTTGCTGCCATTGTTTCAGCCGGAACTGCTGCAGCTGCTGGCTCGGGGGCGGTAGCCTGGCCTCTCTTACCTTCAGCACTGGTTCCCATGCGCTGGGCAGGTCTACGCCCGCGTCTGGGTCGCCTAGGTGGGGATTCCGGTTCCTCTACAGCGTTGCCCTCATCGACTACGGCTTGGATCTCCTCAGGCTGCTTTCGAGGTCTACCCCTTGGCTTTGGAGGGATTCTACCAACTCGGGTAGCTCCTGGTTGGCTCTTGGGCCTAAGGCCTGCTCTTTTTGAGGACTCCTCTCCTGGATCGTCATGTGCAGTATCGTCTTGTGAAGTTTCTCCACTTTCCTTGGGTTGAAGAGGTCTTTTTGTTTCTTGTTGAAAGGCATCTGATGACATACAAAGTCAAATGGCGCTTCGAAAACAGGATAAGGGGACTAATTATACACAACTTACCATCCCTTGGGTTGACGACGGGCTTGCGGTGTGTACATCGAATCTTGGATTTTCTACAAGAGCCACATGCCGGCTCCATTTTGACCTTCTTGGCCGGATTCGGTGCCAGTGCGCTGTTTGATGGCTAGGGTACAAATTAGCGTGAATGGGCTATATTGGGAGGAGCTGGGAACACTGCAAACCTCGTGCGAAGAAGAAGAACCTTGACTCTGTCCAGAGTTTGAAGTACCCACGGGGCCAATACTATCCACACTCTGATAGGGCTCAGTATCCAAAATCGGTTCTTCGAGACCCAAAACTGACGCTTTACGCTTAAGACGATTGCCACCATTCAAAGCGCTGCCCGACGGAGCTGCTGGCATCGGTGCAACTGCACTGGTCCCCGTTCCAATCTGGGAAGGCCTACAGCCCACCAGGACACTTCCAGGGTCAGGAACGAGAACGGGTTCGTCGAGATCAACGGCTTCCCTCCCCTGTCCGGAATGGATGTCATCTCCCTGGGAACCATCAGACTGGGTAGCCGGGATCGGGGTATTGGGCTCAGTCGGTGATCCAGCTTGGGAATCGAACGATGCAACTGGAGCATCCCTCGCGGTACACTGTTCGCACAGCTCGATCTTGTCAGGAGCGTCTTCGGCGCGCGGAGCGCCGCAGTTCTTGCAAGGCCTGGCCATTCTCACAGGATCTATTAGGAACGGCACTTTGAATAGCCCTGTCCAAACAGAGCGGCGCAATAGATGTATCAAATCGACAGGAGAGGTCGAAAGAGAATTAGAATTCGAGAGGTTCGTAAGCGTTGTGTCTCTGCGTCGGGTCTTCTGTTCGCGTTTCCGATGGAGATAATGCACGCTTTTGTTAAATCGCTTGGAAGAACGACGAAGGATCTAAAACGGATGAGAGGATGACGACGGATGGGAAACGAGGAGAAGCTCTGGACGCAGTGAGCGTGAATGAAAAAAGTGGGGGTAGGACTCTTATGGAAAGGGCATAATAGGGCTGCTGGAAAAGGACGGTCGACAGCGCGCTTTAAAGGTGGGAAGAGCCACATCGTCTGACTCTCTGCATCGAACACAACGCCTTCCATATACTTACGTCTTTATCTCCCTTTGTTGTATGGGGAATGGCCGGCCGGAATAAGCTACATCCTCATTGATGTTTGGATCCGTCCTAGAGTGTTATGAACAATGCGCAATTGCTCAAGCCTCATTGTCCCCAGACAAAGCAATTCATTCGCATCCTGCACTCACCCTTCTCCACGTTGTCTACTGTTCCAACCTGAAAGGGTCATACTTTAGGTCCCAACATCGCACGATTGTTCTATCATTGTCCCCGTTGTATGCATGTTCTTAATGGCGCACAAAGCATACTAAAGTATTTGCAAGAAAACAACCAAGCCAACGCAACATACATACTCATGGCCACAGTTCTGTTTCCACCCACTCTCCCTGCCCCTCGGTATTGTTCTCAGGAACAAAGGTCCATCTCACACGCCGCACATTCTGAAGGTCCGACAGGTCAAGACGCTCGATCTCACTTGGACGAATCACAACCACCCGAAAGTTCGCACGCGCGACAGAGTCCTGAAGATCATCTACCTTCTGACCCAATTTCAGGCTTGGGTCTACAGGCTCCTGGGATCGCGGCTGACCAGGCGAGGGATTTTTGAACGAACCTGAACCGATCAGCCAACGCCTTACCCTCTATTCCATGGAAAAAGAAGGGACAAACAAACCTCTCATGACAGGCGAATGATTCGCAAAATAAGTCGTTACCTGCCTCTCCCAGCTCCATCCACTCACATCAGCATCGTTTCCTGTTACGTTCATGCCCGTCTGAATCTCCTTCCTCGCCGCCGCCTCATGCGCTCCACCCTTCGGGTCCCCAATCACAAATGCCTCCCCCTTCACCCGCCACTGGTTCCCAGCATCCGCCAACCAGAACAGACCCTCCACGACGTTCCTAGAAGAATCAAGCTGCCCGACCTTCTCCATCCGAATATCAGTCGTGAGCGAGATCATATCGCTCTCATACACAGCGGGGTTCTGACCAATGCCCTGGCTGTTTAGCGCCTCAACCGCCTGGTCATGGAGCTGTGGGCTCGGCCAGAAACCACGAAACTCACAGGTCCGCGAACGCGGCACGGGCCTGTTCTGAGAGTCGTGGTCGACGGTCGAGAGAGTAAACGAAGTGGAGGAGTTTTGAGTCAGATGAGACTGGAAGAGAGAGCGCCATGGGGCTTGAGGGGCCATTGTTGATGTGGATGTCGATCCAAATCGGACAAGCCTTTGTGATTGCTGGAGGTGGGATGCTAGGGAGGAGATTCTCCTGCTGCAGGTTCGCGAAGCCAGTTTGACTGTGACGTGGGGTTGAGATAATTGGATCCTTCGTACTGGTCTGTCTGAAGCTACCGATGTGTCGATGATTGGCTAATATTAGACAAGGCAAATAGACCAAAGTGTTAAGAGCTACGGTCCCTAGGATTGTATTTCAATGCGATGTAGCTGAATAGTACCAGTGAAGATTGGTAGTGAATCACTGTTGACATGACGTCGGCACGTGCTGGTTATCTTATCTGATCAATGGCATCCCACCAACTGGACAATCCATAAGGATATTGAGCACCGAACATCACATCTGCACCATGTGCACCATTCTGGTCATGCCACTGCTAGGCATCTTATGTAATTTGGTAGCTGTGAATACCTTGATCTAAGTTGTATGTAATACATCAACAGCTAGTTTACAGCTTTGAACTGCGCCAGGTCACAGGCGGGACAACGAATGCAAAAGCAAAGAACCAGAAGAGCCTTCAATTCCACTAAATATAAGCATTCCACAAACACCGCCACGGCCGAATGAAAGCTTTTCTGTATTGAGCTGAAGGTCGAACGAAAAATGAAGCCTGGACGTGAAAGATATCACATCTTTCATGCAAAAGAAGACCCAGAACAAGCTCTGCACCAAATTCATCATAATAAGAACAAGAAAAAAGATACGCCCGTTTCGGGATATATTATGTCTGCATTTGATCCGGGTCCTCGACCGCATCGAGCGCGCCGCCGGGTATCCGCCCTTCGTTCAATTCCTTTTCCAGTCTCGCGATCTCTTGTAAGCTCCTTGCTTCGCGGATCATCTTCTCGACACGTTTTCTCTCGGCCTCGGTGAGTTGGACCCTGACGGCCTTGTCGGCCGGTGCCCGGTCGGCTAGGCTTCCGGATGGGACGTCGAATGTGCGGGACTTGATGCCCATGATCTTGGAGGCTAGTGCCGATGGTTCCTCGGCGGTTCCGAAGAGTTCCTGGGCCTTTTCACGCTCGGCATCCTTTATCTTCTGGTAATCCAGGAAGCGCACGCTGGGGATCCTCCAGATGACCCAGTACCGGTAGTGCTGTGAAGATCAGTAAGCGCCCCCATTCTGAGATTAAACAGCTAGGGAAACCCCATATATGCAGGAATTCCGAACTGAAACAGAGGAATGGGAGCGTATAGGATGCTTACCTCTTTCCGGGTGATAGGGTTCTCCAACAACACCAAATGGGTCAACTTCGTCAGGTTGCGCAGAGGATCCAAGTCGGCGAGCTCAGTCATATGGTTCGATGTTAATACAAGGTTGGCCAGGTTCGGCACGGAGGTTGCTAGAGTGGGCTGGATGTGCTTGACTCGATTCCGGGCGAGGAGTAGGGTGTGAAGGCGGGGAAAGAACGGGAAATTCCCAAGGGTGGAGATATCGTTATCTGTGAAATCGATTGCATCTTGATCCTGCCAGAAGAGTGAGCCTCAAACGACCGGAGGGAAGATGGGAAGCAGAATGCCATACCTTGGCAATACCCAAGTTCTCGATCGCGGGTATTTTGTGCCCTATACGACTCAAAAGAGAAACGATATCAATCCAGCTCTGCAAAAGTGTAGTATCTGTCCTTTTCAGACCGATGTGTAGAACGCACCTCGGAGATCTAATTCGCGATCCTTGAGCGGGTTGATGTACGACAGGGAATTTTGGATAAGCTCGACGGTCAATCGCATTGCGGCGGTGTGTGTCTATGGGTCGTTCTATCGGGTATCATACAATTATAGGAAGGACGGGGCACGATTAATATAGAAATTCAAGGTCGGATAGATCACCCCCACAGGACAGTAAATTGACAGTGTAAAGAGCAAAGTATGTGGAGAGCAGCCAGAGCTTCTTTGCGCATCCCAAATTATCAAAGCGGTACCGCAAAGGATTTTGCCAGGGCGGTGAGCCGACGAATCAGCACTCATACACGTGATCGCATAGTACAGAGGGAGATGGTCGATTGACGACTAATATTGCTCAGTATTTACGAAAAAGAAAAGGGGGCAAGCAAGTCACTATTTGAAACTTCAATTAAAATTCATAATATTTGGTATAAATCGCCGGAACTGGTCCAGGCTAGGTGGCATAAGTCTATTGATACATGCAGCGTCATTAAAACGTATAAATCGCCAAGTCAGATCCAATGAACGACTTCGGGAGAAAAGCAAGGATAAACGGGACAAGAAAGCAAGCAGCAGCTATGTACTTCGGAGCAACAGCACTCCTTGCAAATATCACACGGAGAAGTAATGAATATCGCGCCATAATGCAGACTTTCGGTACGGAAGCCATGTCAAGAAAGCGGTTCTCACCTGACAAGTCGTACCAACACAAAAACCGAAACTCCTTGAGATAATGCTAATAGAAAGGGACATCAAGAGTTTTAATGTGAATAGCGTCATACAACAGCATCAATCAACATGCGACAGCGGTGTCATGATGGGTGATCTATGGGGGTGAGATCTCGAGGGACTGCCTGCCCTGGAGCGTCGGCCGTTTGACGTAGGGCCCAGTGCTATAGGCGCGAGATGGTCCCGACTCTCAGTCCTCACCACTAGCCCTGCGCGATCCATGGCGTTGATACCGGAGCCAGCGGTGATTCCGAGTCCAATGGTCCCGGAGGAAGAGTTGTCCAGCCCAAATTTAAGACTGGGCGTGGGGCTGCCCCAGCTTGATGCTCGCTTAGGCGGCAGGAAGCTTGCGGATTCAGTATCAGACAGGCGGGTTACATCCAGCGAACTCCGTCCGGAGACAATCCCACCCAGGTCGAACTCGTTTGCACCATCTTCAAGAACACGCTCATAAGAGGGGCTCCTGGGGCCAAAGAATGGCAGTTTCCCACCAAAGAACTTGCGCTTCTTGGGGTAACTGGGGTGGGACGGCCCTCCGAAGAGGTTACTAATCTTGTGGAACATCCGCGAGCGGCGACTTCGACCGCAAAGGAAGAAAACTATCATGATCATGATAAGGAGGAATAGCACAAGTCCTGGGACTCTGCGGGACGATCTCGCGTTAAGAAGAGCGTCATGCCAATTCGCGCCATGAAGACCCTCAGGATTGGGCAGCAACTCAGTGCTAGGATATTGGAAGTCGTTGGGGATCCCGGCGACATTGCTACCAAACCCAACAGGTAGGGTCTTCTCTTCTATCTCCACAGGGACCTGGGAGGATGCGTACAGAACCATCTTGCCTAGGGTCCAGCTAACTTCGGTAGAGTCGATTTTGTTGACTGCCTGGAAGGGATCGAGGTAACCTTTCTCTTCCGCGTGTGTAATGACCTCCTTTGTGCCATTGTGACCCGAACCCGTTGTGTCCTCCAACCCCACACGTGGAACTCCGATGCCATTGTGCAGAACATTGATGATCCAGGAAGCCTTGAAGCAAACCTCAGAAGCCTTCTCATGGTTGAGTTTCTTCCATTTATGATCGTCTATACCCTTGGCGATAGTTTCCCAGTCCTGCGAGCAAAAAGACTCCACACGCTGCTGATAGGTGTTGAAATCGTATGCCTTATCCTTATGGCCCATTTCGAAAACGTCATGCGTTGTATGCCAATACTCGCTAATGCCGATGAAATGGTTGACATCAAAATCTATGGCGGGAGCGTGAATACCGTGGAGAAGACAGGGCGGATCCAAACAGGGTGCATCCTTATCTAGTAACGGGTACGTTTGCCGCATGCACTCGTCGAACTTTCCGGTGCCCACAAGGTGCATGTTGCCATCTTGTTCCGATGTGAAGGGCTTCCCATCAATTGTAGTCCGAAGGCCGCTGGGAAGACAAGGGTCAGGGAGTTGCTTGGTGCTATCCACCACGCTTGCTGCTTGCATGGACTCAAGATAGCGTCGCCGTGCCTCGTGGACGCCGAACTCAAGCCACGAGGTGACAAAAACTCTATGCTCTTGCGTTGACCCATCCACGTTGCGGAGGCGCAGCAGAGTCAGGTCATTGGCGTGCTTCTGTGTCTCTGTCGAGTTAGGAGCAAATGCGATTTGCGCCGATGCTCCTCCCATGTCCAAGAAGCCATAAGTATGATGGTCTTTACCGTGGTCGTGTCGTTCAGGTGCATTGAAACTACCCAGAAGGTAGTTGGCGGCGATCCATCCATACAAACCTTCCGTCACTCCAGGAATGACTTGGATGTGGACGTCACAATCGGGCAACAAGAAATCGGAGTTGGCACGCGCATAGGAGCAAATCTGATCCAGGAGAAGGTTTCGTTGCACATCGTCTAATAATCGCATACCGGCAGTAGCAAGAAGGAAGATCGGGGTATCCTTGATCGCATCAGGGGGCACGATTGTCTGAGCGTGTTCCAGAAGTTCTGCGAGATGTTGCGACCCAACCTCCTCGGGTCTGTCGGCAAATGAAGACACTCCTACAAGAGTAAGGTAGTCAGAATGCGTTTCGCTTTGTTGTATCCCGTGATACTGAGTCTTTACCTGGATGTATCTTCTTGGTCCATTCTGGCTTCGTTTTAATTTCCGGCAAAGACTGCAGATCCTCCGAATCTGCCCCTTTGCGCGCAACAGCGTTGTTCAACCATCGATAAACGTAAACCCTCGTCCCCTATTATGGGTGTTAGAGGCGCGAAAAAGGTACTCGTTGACATGTGGTGACTTACAGACGATCCTGCGTCAAGGACAACTCCATAGTGCCCTAATTGTCACCCCTATGGTCAGCGTCCGGCGAACATAGTAGCAAGCGGGGATCAAGAATATTACATTTGCCCATTGCAACTGATAATTAGGTATTATTATAATAGTGATTCTCCAACAAGCATGACAGTCGAAAGGCAAGCTCGATTAGCGAATGGAAGGGGAGCGGTACAGGTCAGTCAATGGCGAGCCTCGAGGGGTACCGTAGTTTTTCTTTGAAACTGGGGGAGATAAAAGGCCGGGGTCAGGTAAGCGGCGAGAACGGGGCTAACGAAGACGAGGAGATAAGGAGGTCGATTATCAGAACGAACTAAACGAATGGCCTTGCTGACGGACAGCAAGATGAAAAGTGACGCGGACCAAACCACGAAAAAGAGGAAAGAACTCAGACTTGTTCCCGGTTCCTCTGAGGAAGGTTGGAGGGACAAGAGAGGGAAAGAAAGGACGGGAAAAAAAAAGCCAAGAGAGTCACATTGGATGAAATGGTGGTAACGATAAGACGGGAACGGATGGCGACAGGACGCGACGCTGCCGATCTCCGGTCCTCAGGCCCGCCGCTTTCCTACTTGGGTCAAGGTCGGAACCAGCCTTTTGCACTACTTTGGGAGGAGGCTGAACGATTCCATTCAATCATGGGCCTCGATGTCAGAAATTGACTTCGTTGGCAGAAGACGAGCCAAAAAAGAAAGGAAATGAATTGTTCTGGTCTGTATATTACTGTGAATGGCTCCTCTCGAACGTTACTCTCTCGGTTGGACAACAAACACGACCAAAGGGGACCGGTGGGTATTAATTAAACCTCGTAATTTCGGATTAATTAAAGGTTTGAATCCATAGAGTCCATCGACAGGGTCTGCAGGACACTTCAAGGGACTAAAATAAATCCCTGTCGCCTTGACGTAAGCTTCGGCCCTGTTATGCGGGAGGGCGGCGTCCGCCCTTGTGATTGGTGGATTCGCCAACTGGTCAGAAGCCAAGCATGAAGCATTCGTCATCACCTCTCGTGAATTTCGTGGATTTCGTGGATTTTCTGGCCCTTTTCCCCCTCCATGACGTTCGAGATCGGGAATGCTGTTCAACATGGAGCACCAACCGTTTGACCTACGAGTGATCGTCCCGTCGGCGACCGACCCCATAAACAATGGAGAAGAATTCCATTGACGATCGAGTCCCTTGGGAAGACCAATCCGGATTCCCCAGATCGCCAAGGTGTGGAGTCTTTGGACCCTGTTGCTGGGATGTACATATGTACGTATACAAATGGCGCTCGTGCATCGGTAGTATTGAGGAGTACGTACTGCTTTCTTACCTGTCACATTGTTTATTACCAAAACCGACCAAAAATTTTAGATCATGTAAACAACTTGAATCGTGACCCTAACTACTAGTATTGTGACAAGACCCATAAACGACCGCTAGACTCCCGATTTCTTCGGTGTCTGCTCGTCTTTTGACCCAGATGGCTCTTTAGACACCCCCATCATCATCGGACTGCTCATGCCATGTGCTATCGACCAGTCTCCGATCTGTTCGTCAAAGAACTGTGCCCGGTCGAGACCCATCATCTCCGATGCCTCATCCACCCGTAGACGCATCCCAGGGATGTACTTGAGAATGAAGAGCAAGATGTAGGACACAGTAAAGGAATACCCAGCGATAGCACAGATCTCAGCAAGTTGCCGGCCAACCTGGATTCCGTTGCCATCAATCGCTCCGCCAGTAAGACTGGCCCCATCCAGGGCTGAAATGGATTCACTCGCGAAAAGTCCGGTCAAGAAGGCACCGACCATGCCCCCAACCCCATGAAGCTTGAAGACGTCCATGCCCTCGTCAATCCTGAGCCAGTCATTAATGTTCTGTAGTGATGAACAGACGATGCCAGTAATGAACCCAATACAAGCCGCGAGCCAAAGAGAAACACAGCCGGCAGCTGGTGTGATTCCCACGAGACCGGCAATGGCGCCTTCACAAGCCCCAACCACGGAAAATCTACCCTTGTGTTTGATCATGTCGACCAGGACCCATCCCAGGATCCCCGTGCATCCTGCCGTATTGGTGTTGAAGACGGCCACCATAGCACGCATACTGGCGTTAAGACTCGATCCACCCTATACTCACAGTTAGATAGACAGTCACGGAAAGCGAACGGTTAGGCAAGACATACGTTGAACCCGAGCCATCCTGTCCAGATAAGAACTGTTCCCAGAAATACTAACGTCGTGTTGTGGGGTTTGCGCGGCGAGGCTTCTCCATGGTGCAACCGCTTTCCCAGGACCAACGCATATGCTAAAGCGGCACAACCCGAAGCTATATGGACGGGACCACCTCCAGCGAAGTCTATAGCCTCAAATTTATAAAGCCAACCGTTGCTGCTCCATGTCCACCTGGCTAGAGGGCAATAGACGATCGTGGCCCAGAAGAAGCTGAAGATCAGAGAAGGCCAGATGTTACCTCGTTCAAAGGCACCTCCCGCAAGTATCATTACCTGCCGGTCTCAGTAATTTCGACCATTTGTGATGGAATTGTATCATACCGTGCAAGCACAGAAAAGAAGCTGGAAGAGGCAGAAGACGATCTCGGGAAGCACGGCGGAACCGGGAGAGGGTGCAACCATGACATTCTTCAGTCCAAAATTCTGCAGCGTGCCGATGAATGGTCCGCCATTTCTGGAATAAGCTAGAGAATAACCCCAGAATAACCATTGGAATGTGACACTACAATCTGTTGAGTATCTGCACTGACACATCATGCTACCACCCACAGAACTTACACCGCAAGGATCATAAAGCCTTGGAAAAGGAGGGCCAATGCGGACTTCCGGCGGGTTAATCCACTGTAGAGGAAGGCGATCCCGGGCAGAATTAAGAAGACGATAAAAGTGCAGGCGGTGATGTAAATATAATTGTATTCCAATCCTGCATATTGTGCATTGACGTCGACTTTGGTTGGATCGCCCCCTTCGGGCATGGAAGCATTGTACACCGGCTGTTAGTCGTACACGGTCATCATTAGCCTGATGCTGCTATCGTAGAGGTCCTCCATTGGGGTAGAGAAGGACAGACATACCGCAGCCATGACGAGTAGACGCGCTCTCTATTCGGTGAGAAGCTCAGATGACGACAACAATATATTATAGCATTCGCTTTTGTGTCTCGAACGATCGATCTTGGGAAGCAAGCGAAAAGCTGGAGAATCTGTCGGCCTGCATCGCAATTTATCCTCACCTTCTCCCTTGATTTGCAACATCTCTTGGCCGTACTCAGATTACCGTAGGATCGGGTACGACGTTTGTTTTGAGCTTCTCGTGTCCTTATCTGCTCGAGCCAAGACTCTTGTACTTAAACTGGCTCCATTCATGATGAAATATAATCCAGTAATGGGCACTGTGAAATGGGCCGCTCGTTATCGGAGGGGCAATCGCTCAAGAATATCCTCCGTTGCTGATAAGATACGGTCCATTGATTGATGGGTATTGGCTTTGCCTCTTCACTCCAGGATCTGGCAACCTGGCGAGGGATAGGGTGCGCTTTCCAGTTAACTGTCTTGGGAAGTCAAATGCGCGAACCACGATGATTATTGGTGAGAGATAACCTGCTCCCGCGGCTGAGGTCCTTTGCAAAGCTAATCTTATCGGCTTCCAATAGATCTTCTGTTGCTATACGCAGGCTTCGATCATCTTGCAGATGGCGGGTCCCTTGATAAGGATGAAGAGAAACGCCACAAGTCTGGCTGACATAGACTATGCAGAAAACCTGTCCACTACACTAAGTAGCATGGATGACAGATCGTTAGTTCAATATGTTGTGAAGATTCTACTTGTGGTTAGCCTCTCTTCAAGGCTGATTAAGCCCCTAGGGCTCCTTCGTTCAAGAGACCTTTCGAATCCCGCCGCCAACTACCGACATCCACCTTAGTCTCAGAATTTTCCCCACAATTTACTCCCCGCATAGGAGTCCGGGGAAGTGCTCATGCATACAAAAGAGAACCCCGATCTCTCCACTTCGCCTATAAGAAGATCGGCTGTCATTAACTGAGCAATTTGCCGTCACGGCTTAGCCCGCCATGCCCGTGCCCCGATTGGTCCGGGCCCTGCCTTATATCTCGGCTACCTTGCTTGTTTTGTTCGATTGAGGCATCGCGAAGCTTAGATCTAGGTATCCTTAGACTCTATTGGATGAGTCTTTGCTCTGAGTCGACACGACTAAATTACCATGGTGGGTCATGGATCGGTCTTGGAGAGTTGCGTACTGCCGTTGCAGTCGAAATACCGATCCTACCACCAAGCCTGAAGTACAGCGGCAAATTCCCACATCGATACCTTCAACATGTCCCGTGAACCTGTACCGTTTCCAAAGGACTACCCCAGGAGTGCACTTTGCGGTATCCCCATTCGGTTGAGAGCTCAGGCTCGATGACCCATTAAGGAAAGATGTGCGAAAATCCGGGAAGGGGATGCCGATAGAAAGTGGGACTAGGAACTTTCAGCTGAAGGCACAACAAACCAAAGTTTGTGCCTATATATACCGACAGAGTTTTCACTGGACTTTTCGTACTGTCCGTAGGATTGCCGAATTGCCTTCACCCCAGGTCGTCACAAAATGTGGCACACAAATAAAGTTAGCTTTCTTAACCTCTTCACCCTTCTACTAGGGACTGTGGAGTCCTCTGCTCAATCGTCCACTCAATGGCCTCAGCAAACCTTTAAGAGCACACCACTTGAAGCACCATACCTCAACGTCACCAAGAATGGCCAAACAGAACTGGGCTACCTATTCTTCTCCCCAACAAACAGTAACTGGAGCTATCCAACCATCTACCAAGATGACGGACAGCTCGTCTGGCGAGGTCCATTGGTCAACACCTCAGCCGAACAGCCACAAATGCTAAATGGCGAGCCCGTCCTCGCCTACTGGAACGGTGCCAACATCAAAGGCTTCGGCTTCGGCGTCATTAGCATCCTAAACAGCTCCTATGACGAAATCTACAAAGTCACCCTCCCAGGTACAGAGGAGAAGTTCGTCACCGCTGATTCCTTGACATACCCCTCCTACATCGACATCCACGAAAGCCAAATCACAGACCAGGGGACGATCCTCGTGACAGCTGTCAATGTTACACAGATGGACCTCTCATCAATCGGCGGCCCCAAGGATGGCTGGGTGCAAGACGGTCTCTTCTACGAAATCGACATCAAGACCAATGATGTTCTTTTCCGCTGGAGTACCGTCGAGCACCTCTCCGAGATCCCTCTTTCCAACAACGAACTCCCACTGCAGGGCAAGGGGTCAAACCAGACCACCCCCTATGAATACCCACATCTGAACTCCGTAGCCAAATACGGTGATTCATACCTGATCTCCTCCCGATTTATGTGCAGTTTCTTCTTCATCGACAAGAATGGCAACGTAACCTGGCAGTTGCACGTAAGTTAACCGTCCTACCTTGGTATAGACAAACTCCAACCCAAAACACAAACTAACAAATACCCCAGGGCCAAAAAGGCGGAGACTTCACCCTAACCCCAGGCACCAGCTTCTGCTACCAACACGACCCACGCTTCGAAAGTCAAACGGAAGACAAAATCACCATCCACTTCCACAACAACGAAAACTCGGATTTCACATCTGAAACCGTTATGACAACGGGCATGACCATCGAGCTAGACATGAAGACCAAGATCGTAACCCTCGTCGACAAGATCTGGGACGCTGAGCAGCCCGTCTACGCCGAGTCCCAGGGTAGCTATCAGAACCTGACTAACGGACACGTGCTGATGCAGCATGGTGCGGTTCCGAAGCTGGAAGAATTTGACGAGAACGGCGCGTTGGTGATGAGGGCCTGGTTTGGTTATCACGGCGGCACGAAGACGTACAGAGGGTACCGGTTCCCGTGGGTTGGTAAGCCCAGGACGAAGCCGGATGTGGCTGCTTGTGCTGAAAAGGGGAAGACGGTGGTTTATGTGAGTTGGAATGGGGCGACGGATGTGCAGGAGTGGAAGGTGTTGGGAGGATCAGAAGAAGGGCAGATGAAGAAGGTTACGGTGGTGCCTAGGAATGGGTTTGAGACGAGAATTGCTGTGGATGAGGTGGTGGAGAAGGTTGTTGTTGAGGCTGTTGGTGGAGTGGGTGCTGGGAAGAGATCGGAGGTCGTTACTGTTGGGCAGAGTTGTTGAGTGCTTATAAATGCCTTATTGGCATACTCTGTAACCACAATCTAAGTAATTTAGAGGCTGATACTGTACTTCAGATAGATTTAACTCTTGTTAACAAATAGAAGACTCTGAAAAGACGTGTATGCTTCAGAAACTGGACCACATGGCGACTAAAATATATGATCGGGTACGTATGCACAAAAAGGAAATAGTTACATACAAAGGGTTCAAGTAGAGTAAGGGTATTCACAAGGCAAGGAGGCGGGTTAGAATAGTAAACGATTATAAACAATCCGTAACAAAATATAAAAATCCATGCGACGAGTAAGTATTAAAGTTTAGAGCTGGGCGTAATGTCTTTTCTGCGCTGTTGTCGAGCTGAAACGTCTACGCTGTCTTCCAAGTCAGGGCTTGCGGCGCTCTCAAATAGTTTACGGCCGACCAAGTCGGTCATGATCAGAACGCGAGAGGAGACCGTTGCGCCATCTCGACGATTTTTCCTGCTCGAGATTAGTATAATAAACTTGAAAAACAGGGATAAGAGCATGACTCACCCCTCGCGCCTAGACTGAGCAATCAACTCGGTGAAGTCCCAAAGGCGTCCACGAGGCAATAGCTTGCCGGTGGACGGGTCCCGTTCGGGTGTCCATTCGGGTGCAAGCTTCACCACAGGTGCAGCGCGTGATTCTTTGCTCTTGCGAACGAGGATGATACCTTCTTCCGCGAAGCGTTGGTATGAGTTTTTGAGGGTCTCCTTGTTGACGGCTTCGAAATAGGACAAGTCGCCTTGATGGTACAACGTTTTGCCAAGCTGTCCTCATGGTTAGGCTTATAACTATTTGGATAAATTTCAGACATAGACCTACCAGCTGAGCACTATCCTGCGCCTTCTTCAAGTCGATCCAGATATCCTTCTGTTCATTGACTGGAGGGGTGAGTCCAAGCAGAGACACCGAGCCGAGCCATGAAGCCTCGATAAATGGCCAGATCAAGAAACAGTAGAAGTCATAGTTCTCTCTTCCACACTGCCGTTCCGCATCGCTTAGCTCAACGGACAGAGGTGTGCCGGAGGAATCCCTAGAGACGGTGATAACATCATCTTTCTCGAGTCCCTGGAGAGTTTTCTCTAAATTGGTAGTCAACCCCTCCGGAGGGAAGATGAACTCACCACGGAAAAGCTGGAAGGTGTTAGTGATTTCGCCAGGGAAGGGAAAGTGGTATCATACCTGCGAAAGAAAAGAAACTTGGTTTAAGAGATCCGTATATGAAATTCGTTGATGAGATGGGCCACCACCCCGTTTGACCTTCGTGTACATAGCTGCCGAGACCAGCGCTTCCGTAATGAATAAATGAATGGTCATGTTGCGATAGAAAGACAGCTGGAAGCGATCCACAGCGTAGTATGTCGGCTCAGCAAGACCGCTTACTACACCCACGAGCTTCGACCCGAGGACCTCAAGGGCACGATCAACGACCACCTCAGTCGGATACCTATAAAAGTGTGCAACCCGGCCACCCTTCATGCGCACACGCTCACAAAGCCACTCCACCCGACGCACCAGCTCCGCTTTGCCGACGCCGCGCCCGCGAAGCGTTAGCAGCACGGTACCAACCAAAGCTGTAGGCATCATCACAGAGACATCATTGATCTCCGAAAGAACTCTATAACCCAAAGTCCTTAGGATTCGGCCTCTTTCTTCATAATTGAGTTTCCTGCCACTATTTACGCCAATCTGGTCTGGTAATCGGGACAATTGCTGCGTGACAAATTCCCTCAGACTCCAAGGTTCGTGAAATCGAACATCTACCCGACCTAGCTTCAGGGATAATACAGAAGAAGACGAAAGGAAATCCGCAAGGTTCTCTTTGCGCTTCGGCTGACCAAGAAGCTCGCTAATATAGGATCTATAGGCAATGTCAGCAAGCGTGTACGTTTGTAAAGGGTTTCTTTCATACTCAGTCTCAATAACTTTATCGTATTGTGTGCTAACGGGGCAGATGATTGTGTCCTCCACACGGCCGGATAGCACACTGTCTAATATGAAGCTCAGAATTCCGAATTTGGGCGATAACAACTTTCCAGTTCTAGACCGCCCGCCTTCGATGAAACATTCGAAATTGAACCCTTGTTGCAACATTGTATCAATATAAGCCTGGACGACGGTATTATACAACGGGTCATTTCCAAAGCTCCTCCTAATCCACATGGCCCCTGCAGTCGTTAGCATGAATATGAGAGAGGGTATAGAATTATATCATACCAGCATGCTGCAAGAAAGGCCCCAGTAACGGGATGTTCAGATTGTCGCCTGCCACGACGACAGGTAAACCAATCCCTAAGCGGTAGCAGATAAGTTGGAGAGAAACATAGTCAACATGCGACTTGTGACACGGCAAAAAGACAATAGACTGCTTCTTTTTGGCCGCTTCTGCTGCAACGGACCTTAAGCGCAGAACTTCTTCACTCGATACGTGAATTCCTGCGACCATTAGAGATAAACTCTCACAAAAAGCTCAAACACAGGCCTACCTTGGTGATAAGCACGCGTGAGAAGCTGAGTGCAGAGATAATATGCGCCGCGGATAAACCGCCGGCTCTCCATCTTGCAAATCATATTGTCCAGCATAGAGTCAACCACCTCCTTTAGGTTACTCTCGATCTCATTCCGCCGATGGGCCTTCTTCTTCGGCAAAGGGCCCGGCTTCACATCTAAGAGGCCCTCCTTCTCTTCTACCGATAATCGGGCTTCGGCCAGTTCCTTAACCTTGCTGCGTAAGAGAGAGCTTGCGAGGATGTTCGTCTTCATCCGATCCGAAAATCCGGAGTAAAATATAGGCTGCCCGATCACATCGTCGTATGCGCGCCAGCCAGTACCTGACATATAGAGGCTCACTTCCCGTAGAAAGTCGAACGGGTTCTCCCGAAAGCGTGCCATATGATGGACAAGATTCCGCTCGGTAATTCCGTCATCTTGAGGTTCTGGCCCTCCAGTGAATCCACTGGGATGATGGTGACTTTATCTCCAACAATTTCCAAGTCTGGGGGCGATTGATCCACGGGACCCTTCTCGGATGGCATCTTGGATAGAGGAGAGAGCGGAGAAGTAGCTATACAGGTACGAGCGGGAACGAAGCTAATCAGGGAGAATGACAGGAGGTCCGGCTGCCATGGACTTCAGAAGCACAGGAGACACAGCGGTCATAACATGAATGGTCGCCCGGAGTATAGGGAAGAAGGTTTCATAGCAACGTGAGCGGTAGAATATTGTTGTGATTCAGTTCCCAACAAAAGGGCCTGATCATCCCCCGGTATTTCCCCAGAGTCACTACCTCGGATAGAGTCACGTGAGATAGCACGGTCCTTGCGGCGTACGGACCAGTAATAAATTACACAGAGTACATGCAACCATGGCGCCAGAGCTGTACGTAAGAGAAAAAGCAGGTTGATGGGGCTGTCTAACCGAAACGGGCGCCGAGCGTTAGGCCCGAAGTGGGCAAGTTTAGAGCTCCTCTTCCCGAGTCCCGCGAAGGATGATTTCCACGCAGAAGCCGAGAGCACGACGATCGACCATCACCTTCTGCAATCAGAGAGCATGTGCGCCCGTCTTAGTGGGCTGATGCATCCTGTCGTGCAAGTTTTTAGCTCATAGAGTTCGGTGTAACGGCCAATGTCCCTTTGGCAATTCAGCGTCTGAGCCCGTTGTTGCTCCACAGTGGGACAGAGGAAGCACACTGACTGCTACATGGAAATCTGCGAGCCTGCCACCTCATAAATAAATTTCCAACATGTTTCGGTGGGCGCGGGCATTCTCAAGTAAGACTACAAGAGACTTCTGAATTTAGACTGTGTTCAAGCCCATATTTCTCTAACAACAATTTCTATTGCAGCTGCGTCGTCTTTTTTCAACAACGCCTCAATGGCTTCCCCATCCCTCCGCCAGTACTCCTTCCAAGTCTTCCGCGATGTCCCTCCGCTCCGCCAAATGCGCCGGCAGCTAGTGCTGGACAAGAAGACCGTAGGGTTTGTTCCTACCATGGGGGCTCTTCACGAGGGCCATCTCTCGCTGATCCGACAAGCGGCGGCCGAAAACACCGATGTCTTCGTTAGCATCTTCGTCAACCCGACCCAATTCGGTGTCAATGAGGATCTTTCAAGCTACCCCCGGACTTGGGATAGTGATGTGGCTAAATTAGAACAACTGAACGATGAGTTTGCCCGTCTTGGTAATGCCACTGGTCGCATCACGGCTATTCTTGCCCCTACGTCGAAGGTTATGTACCCTACATTACCCCCTTCATCGGAAGTTGATGGGGATGGGTCTTTTGTTACAATAACCCCTATCTCAAAGAGGCTGGAGGGTGCATCCCGTCCGGTCTTCTTCCGAGGGGTTGCGACTGTCTGCATGAAGCTCTTCAACATTGTTCAAGCCGACCGTGCGTACTTCGGACAGAAAGACGTCCAGCAAACCGTGGTCATCAAGCGCATGGTGCAAGACTTCCATGTGGATACTGAGATCAAGATTGGCGACACGGTTCGCGAGCATGACGGGTTGGCGATGAGTTCGAGAAATGTGTACTTGGGAGATCGGAGACGTACTGTTGGCCTCGTCCTCTACAAGGCCCTGAAGAGTGCTGAAAACGCATACAACTCCGGCAAGCTGGCGCGAAGTGACATTCTCGGTGCTGCTAATAGTGTGACATCCCAAGTCTTGTCCGAACAACAGGCTTTGTCGCCGTCTGAAAGGGCCCTTTATGAAGTCGACTATATATCCTTGGCCGATCCTGACACATTGGATGAGGTGGAGTCAATTGACCCCGCCAAGGGAGCCATCATAAGCGGTGCCGTCAAGATGACTCCTCTTGAAGAAACTAAGCCCGGCGAAGACTGTGGCCTAGGTGATGGACAGGTTGCTGTGAGACTTATCGACAACCTGATCTTTAAGCCTCGATCTTGAACCCTCTGCTCTTCTGGGGGTTAAAATATACCAAATAGATAGATCATCTTCAAAAGAGCGTTATACAACCAGGCGTACCCTGTCAATGGCCAATGTACATATATGACATGTCTGGATAACCTTTTGCATCGACCCACTTGTTACAATACAAAATACTGAGTGCAACATATGCTAACAGTTATCAATCTAATACCTCATACCCACATTCACTACATAAAGCAACCGCCGATCCTCCGTAGCAGTCTCCCTTCCCCCATCACCCAAAAAGGAAAATAGGGCACATAGAGAGGGCTCGGAAGCAAAACGGGCCGAGAAAATTTCCCTCCGCAGCGGGACCCATCGAAAAAAAGCAGCAGGCCTAGCCTCACCCAGCAAGCAAAAACCCTCATAAACAAGCAAACAAAACCAGAAGTTCGTCATTACATCCAAAATGGCGGACGACGGTTTACTCCTCAACTTCGCTATCAGCGACACCAACATAATCAAACCCGAAGCCAAGCTCAAAGGCGGAACCTGGCGCGACCGCCTAAGCGCAAAGAAAATCGCCCAACACCGCACCAACAACCCCCGGAAGCCCGGCGAGGAGAGACCATCCTCGAACAAAGGTCCCCTGAACCCGAATCGCATTCAGGTATCCTCATCTCGGCCATCGAAGAGACAGAAAACAGATGCCGATGGAGACCATGGAAAACCACAACATAAGAACCAGCAACACCCGCGACAGTTCGTCTCGTCCCTTTTCTCGAAGAACCCTACGCCCCAGAATACGGAGGAGGTGCCTGAGGAAGAGCCGACTGAGGATGCGAAGCCGACGAATGCGCCACTGATTGATGGACTGGATACATTTACGAATCTGGGGCTGTCGCCGAGCTTGGCGGCGCATTTGTTGACGAAGTTGGAGTTGAAGGCGCCGACGGGGATTCAGAAGGCGTCTATGTCACAGTTGCTGAAGGAGGACAGTGATGCGTTCATCCAGGCGGAGACAGGTTCCGGAAAGACATTGGCTTATTTGCTTCCGCTTGTGCAGCGGATTATGACGGTTTCGAATCCGAAGAATATGAGCACAGATTCGAGCGGTGAGCCGATCGTTCATCGTGATAGTGGGTTGTTTGCTATCGTCCTGGCTCCGACGCGTGAGTTGTGTAAGCAGATCTCGGTTGTTTTGGAGAGTTTGCTTCGATGCGCGCATTGGATCGTGGCCGGTACGGTTATTGGTGGTGAAAAGAAGAAGTCGGAGAAGGCGAGACTTAGGAAGGGACTAAATATTCTGGTGGCTACACCAGGTCGACTTGCTGACCATCTTGAGAATACACAAGCGCTGGACGTGAGTAATGTGAGATGGTTGGTGCTCGACGAGGGTGATCGGTTGATGGAGCTCGGTTTCGAGAAAGAACTACAGGGGATCATTCAGAAGCTTGATGCCAGACAACGACCCAGTCGAATTCCCGGTATTCCTACAAAGCGAACTACGATCCTTTGTTCCGCTACGTTGAAGATGAATGTACAGAAGCTGGGAGAGATCAGTTTGAAGGACGCCGTTCATATCAAGGCAGACCCCGCCGACGAGGATGGGGAAACCAAGAAGAAGGACGACGACGGCTTCAGGGTGCCAGCTCAGCTTAAACAATCTTATGCTCTTGTTCCAGCTAAGCTCAGACTGGTTGCTCTTACTGCCTACTTGAAACGAACATTTATGCGGAAAGGCTCCGTCATGAAGGCTATCGTATTCGTCTCTTGTGCGGACTCGGTCGATTTCCATTTCGAGGTGTTCTCAAGAAAGAAGCAGTATAGAGACGAAAGCGAGGAGGAAAACGAAGACAAGGAAGACGAGGATGAAGATAATGTGAAAACGAAATCTGAAGCATCGCCACACGGCACAATCGCCCCTGCTGTTGCCTTCTCTAACCCTTCGAACCCGGTTAAATTGCATAAGCTCCACGGATCTCTCCCCCAACACGTCCGAACAGCCACCCTTAATGCCTTCTCTCGCGAACGCGAGCCATCCGTTCTAGTCTGCACCGACGTTGCATCTCGAGGATTGGACTTGCCAAATGTCGACTTGGTCATCGAATACGACCCAGCTTTCAGCGCGGACGACCACACCCATCGAATCGGACGTACTGCCCGTCTTGGACGGGATGGCCGAGCATTGATCTTCCTGATGCCCGGCTGCGAAGAGAACTACGTGGAAGTTCTGAAGCGGGGGTACCGAGACGGCGGAAAGGCCCTCACGCGCACGACTGCGGAGGACATATTGAAGCGCGGGTTCGGCGGGAACATCACATCCGAGACCAAGAACTGGGAAGAGAAAGCGACCGATTGGCAAATGGACCTCGAACGATGGGCAGTAGACAACTCGGAGTACCTCGAGATGGCCCGACGAGCCTACCAATCCCACATCCGCGCCTATGCCACGCACATCGCCAGCGAGCGAAGCATGTTCAACATCAAGGAACTCCACCTCGGACATCTTGCCAAGAGTTTCGCCCTGCGTGACCGGCCCAGCAAGATCAACGTCCCCGGCCTGCGCCCTGGGGACAAGGATGCAAAGAAGGACTACAAGGCCGAGAGGAAGACCGTTGGAAAGAAGAGAAAGGCAGGCGGCCGAGACGACGACGATTTCCCATCGTCCAACGACGCAACATCGGCGGCCCAAAAGATGCGAGCCAAGCTGAAGGAGCACATGGCTGGCGCCAGCGAATTCAACCTTGCCTAGTGTATTTGTATATAGCAATTGATGCCCTCAGTAGATATCCCACAATGAGATCTTTCCATCTTTTGAACCCGCCGCCAACCAATGCGTCTTCTGGACCTTCTGATTCCGCTGACGCTGCACCGTAGCAAGCGAGAACTCTCCATCACCCTTCGTAGTAGTAGCAGTACCACCCGAAACATCAGAACCCACCACATCCGCAAAAGCAACCGCATAACAGCCCTCCTTATGCCACTTCAAAACCGCCAACTCCCTCATCGTCTTACAAGAATACACGCGAATCCTCGAATCCCAGCCCGCAGTCGCAAACACCCTCCCATCAGACCGAATCCTCAACCCCTGCTGCCCGGAATGCTTCGTATCCACCGTCTTCAGCGTAGTCGTCTCCCCAAACCCCGGAACAGGATGCCTGACCAACAACGCATCCGCGGACGACGAAACAAAATACCCCCCAGCGGGAAAAACATCAATCGACAAGGCGGGCTGGGAATGCGGCCGCGCGACATAAACCTTCTCCCATTTCCAGAAACTCGCATTTCCCGAAACATCCTGCGCACCTCGCCGCGCAAAAACCATCACCTGGCCGTCTTCGTAGGCGGCCGCGACGTGGAGTTCCCGGCTAGATGAGTAGAAGAGGGCCACGGCCATGACCATCCCCGTTTGCGCGGCTGTGCCGGCTGGGATGGTGCAGAGGCGTGTTTCGCGCGGCAGGTGGAAGAGATCGATTGCGCCTGAGTCGAGGGCGTTAGGGACGGCGAAGAGCGCGGCGCGCCCAGGTGGCTGGGCGTCTGACGCTGCTTTCTGTTGATCTGGGGATGTCTGATCATCGAGGAAGAGTAGGGAGAAGGCGCAGAAATTCAGGGCGTTAACAGGCAGCGAGTGGACGAGCCAGGGTTGAGTCGCTTGGGACTGCTGCTGCTCGCGCATGTCCACGGGCAGGGTCTTCTGGAGGAGATCCTCGTCTTGGGCGCGGAAGCGCCACACGCATAATTTGTGGTCTCGACCATGGCTGGGGCGTTTGTTAGACACTTTCTGTTGGGAGTTGGGGGAGGGGAAATCGTACGTATATA